TAATTAATTGCCACCTATTTTCCCGCAATCCGATCACCCTTTTCTCCCCTCCCCGCCCCGCCTCGCCCCTCTCGCTGCGAGGACAGATTTCGCTCGGCGTCGTGGCCGCCCTGAGCGAAGGCCCTCTGGGCTTTGGGGGATGGGGTGGCGGTCCGCTTCTTCTCCCTCGCTCCTGCCTCGTAGGAGGGCGGGCAGGCTCGCAGCCGTCCAAGACGCGGAGCGCTGGGGACGTGGAGGCAATCAGTGAGGTTACCCCGCGACTCCGACCTCTTAGCCGCCCTGGATGGACTCACATTCCTTCCTACACAAGGAATGGCACATTTCTGCACCAAAAAAGTAAGTTTTGGGCTTCCTCATATCACACTTTGCCTCCAGAAGGACTACAATGTTCTCTAATGTCTAAGGCACTGTTTTTGTTTTTGTTTTCTGTTTTTTTTTTTCCTTTCTGTTTTTCATGGCAGTCAGTTTCCAGGCTTCCCCAAAGTGGCATTCAATGACCCCATAGTGGAAGTTGTAGTCCAGCATATTTGGGGAACTTCAAGTTGAGGTGGTTTAACACAGGACATCCCCAGGCATCATAAGGCTGTGAGATTAATAAGGGTTATGCCATCCAATTAACACATCCACCCTACTGATAGACTGCTTCCTGAAAGAAAACCTATCCAACCGTTTTCTTAATCTGGGTCTCCCCCAGATGTTTTGGACTGCAGCTTCCCCCATCCCCTGACCACTAGTACACTGGCTGGTATTGAAGGGAAAGAATAATCAAAGCTGCTTTGGGGGAGGACCATCCTAGCATCATCTTAGGCTAAACACTGGGGATTGGAACAAATCCCTGGTTGGGTTTGTATAATGTATGAAGCCAAAACTAAACCAGTTATGTTATGGATATGTTTGCACAACATGCTTGGTTAGGTGAATTTGGTCCACTGTATTGAATGAACCCAGAAATTCATGACATTTAGCATCAGTAGGCAGGAACATACACAGGAGGTGTCAAAATGTCAGGCAGATGATACCACATGATCAAAGCCCTGACCCTTTTTAATGGGTCTCACAGACATTTACAAGGGGTGGGGCTTCAATCACATGGTCACACCTGCCATCTTGACTTTTTTATGACTCCTCTTCAGATGACTCTGTCAGGAGGGAAAGCATTCTAACCCAAAGTACCCTGTATTAATTGTAGCCAAAGCATTTTTCCTTAGTGTGTAGTATGAACCATATAATCAGTCCTCCAATGAAATGAAATAGATATAGAACAGCTGAAAATGCAAGATGGGCTGTTACCAAACTCATATTAAAGTGGTGATTGTTACTCCTTGTACACCAGATTATTATAAGATGGGTGGCCATATAAATTGTATAAATAAACACATAAATCCATCCAAAGCTTGGCAACCATTCAACTCACCTCCCAAACTCTGATTGTGGCAGCACTAGGCCCACTGCTGTTTGCTTAACTATTGGGCAAAAGGAATTGATATCCTGGTTCCTTGTCACAGTCCTTTGTTCCTGGCACAAGAGTTCATAAGATATCAGGCAGAAGTAAAGGAACTGAGTGGGGATTCCAAAATAATGACTCTTGACCCAGATAGCATGACTCTTCACTGCCAAATCTAGTTGTACAAAGCTAAGATTCATCTGCAATTTCTACCTGTCCAAGTCAACATGGTGAAAGTTGAGCAATTCTGAAAGTCACCCCAAACAGGTTGTCTCATAGTGAGCAAACAATCAGGGCATAGCCTGGCAGTGACAGCCAATGCAGCAGGCTGACAGGCAAGGAAGGGGAAAGAGAAAGGCCTTGGATGCAGGAACAGCTAAGCAGGTACTTCAGGACCTTGGACAGTCCCATGAAAAAGACAGCCTGTCTCAATCAGATCCTTTGTCATATATAGCCCAAAATCTATGCCCTTCCCCACTTTGCTGGAAAATTAGAGATTTTTCAATAGGCAGCAGTTTAAATAGACAGCCAGGAGTCATGCACTCTGTCATCTCTTCCCTGCCATGCCATCTATAGTGGTAAGTGTGGCCTGAATGTGCCCTCCAGGAACTGCAAGACCTCAGAGTCCCACTATTTTCCTAAAGAACTTTGGACAGTTCTGTTTCCAATGGACATTCCTACCTTTCCTTTTAACGCACCACACAAACTTCTCTATCTAGTAGCACTCCCATACTGTCTGCTCCTTTCCACTTCACTCATATGAAGTGCTCATTCTTATTTTGTGTTGGCAAGAGAGGATTTAAAAATATATAGTTAATTAATAGAATACTAAATTCAGTCAAACATCAATTAAAGAATAGCATCTCTGAAAATCTGGAGCTATGCTCTTTTTTTTTTTAATCCCTGGAATTTTCAGTGAAGCATAGATTACCAGAATAATGGTCTACATCTTACAAAAACACATAATGGTGGCAAACCAGCTATTTGTATTATTTAAGCTGTTCAGTGTACCCAAGTGGGTTTTCTTTTCTTTTCTTCTATGAGGGATAACCTCTAGGCATAAAATGATTCCTATCTTCAGGTAGGAAGTTGCTTCTGTCATTCTAGCACACAGACTGAAGTACCAGAAAAAAAAAATCTTATTGTTAGGAGGCTTGGGGACACAGAAAAACTAAAGCATGGAGGGAAAATTTTTTGTCTTGCACATTAATCCCCAAAATGAGAAATAATATATTGTATTATTCCCACACACACATACATACCCCCCCCCCAAATATGCGTTCTTCAGAGTAAATGCTACTGCATTTTTTTATGGAATTAGTTTTCAGGTAAGCAGTCTTGCTTGAATTGATAATTAATTATTTAATTATATTTCCACAAGGATCCAGTACAGAGGCAGCAACCTGCTTAGTTGGGCTGTTTGCTCTCCTTTTCTCTCCTTGCAGTACTACTTGTGCTGTTTACACAAATAACTTAGGTCCAATTTTTTCCCCCCATGTTTGAAAATTAAATGTAAAATTTACATTAGCTGGGATGTACATTGACTCTCTCCTTGTTTTTATCTGCATTAAAGACAGAAATCTCAAGTTACAAATGGAACACACCAGACCAAAAGGAACATTTATTTTTTTACAAAAAAGAACATGCTCATTCTCCATCCAGCAGCTTTTGCTTTGGGCTGCCTAAGGAAAGCAGCTTGCCAGCTCTTCCATTTGTCTTTGGGACATGATGGTATCAGCCCTGAAACTGGAATTCCCAGTCAAAGTTATTCTTACCCCCTATGGAATCCATTACATAGTAGTAAAGACTGGTGGATCTCAAGATCTCTTATCACACAAAGGGAAATGGAAAAAGGAGTTTCTGTGTTGAACTTCTGGCCATGGGTTAATAAACTGAAGAGGGAGGGGAATCTAGTCGTATATCTAATTCCATTTTGTGCACCTGGATTGCATTTAACTGCTTCATCTTTTTATGTAAACAATTGACAAACAAACAAATATCAAGTGTTCTAAATCAGATCACGTTTTGATTTGGTCCTTTTCTGCTAAACATGCAGATTAACCAGGGTTTTCTGATAAAGATAATTACAAGAGCACTGTGTATTAACTTTACATTATTAAAGAAAGACTCAAATCTCCCCTTGCAAGCTGTTCCTGGGATTAGCAGAACAATAACTTTCATTTAGGATAATTGTGATGTGAATGGCTTGGGTTTTATGATTTTGCTTTTGACTATTACTCTTTTATCATTATTATTCTTTGTTTATATGGAGAAGCTGGAATCTTGTTTTGAATTAGTCAGGTGTGAAGAATGGAAAAAAACAAACAAAGAGAGACTTAGTAGCTTTTATACAGGCTCATTAATGACAATACTATATTAGGGCTCCAGGTAATGTTGCTAGCAGCTCTGCTTACCCCAAATGGGGAAAAGGAAATAGCTGCAGAATTTTAAGAAGTCGCATTAAAGAACTAACAGGTGGCAATAAAATAATTCATTAGGTGAGATAAAGTGATGGGTAGATAAAAAGAATAACATGCTCCATATTCTG